AAATTAAAGGAAACTTAAACTTACTGAATTCTAAAGACGACTATTTTCTTCCAAACTGTGTTCCTTGCAAAAGAAAGTTGAATCTAATGATACTCTGGAGAAGCAAAATCTTAATTTTTCTTTTTCTTGGAAAAAATATACGAAAAGTTTTAAAGTGTCCTATAGCAGAACAAAGTATTTTAACATGTGTTCAAAATGTCCTATCCTGTTAAACTTAGCGTGTGGGGGTGCAAAGCGTTGGGTGAGGTCTCTAAAAATTATTACCGAAGAGGAGAGTGAATTCTCAACTCCAATATGGCTGCGAAAGAAACTTTTTGAAAGAAACTGTCCTCTGTAAAATCTTCAAAAGCGAAAAAAACTGGCTTAAAGTTGAGGAGAAAGGAAAAATACATGTTATAAAAGATAAGTCTTCACGTAATCGGAGTGCAGTACGTCTTTGAAACTAGAAACCCGATTTTTTTTAGTACAAGCAAAACATTTGCCGGTTTATTTAAATTGAAAAAATATTTAAAATAATAATTATAAGGGAAAGAAAGATCTTTACGCGTATTTACATTAAATTTCTTAGTCATCCAACTATTACCTCCGATTAAAGTTTAAGTAATAATTATCATTTCCTTTTAGATGAGAAATTTTAAAAAGGTAGTTAATACCAGCTTTCTTGAAAGATATAGAAATTTTGAATAAAGGCGTTTTATTCCCTAAGAGAATTTTGGCCACGTTAGTTATTTCTTCTTGTAAGGATTCCACATTGTTGCAGATTATGTTTGAATCTGAGGAGTTGAGTATGTATGTTATTAAGTATTACTCTTTTGGAGATATATGAGTCTCAATGAATGAGTTTTATAGTAGGGAAATCAAAATCTCTTCTTTTGTCGTAAATTTAGAATTTTAAATTTATTTTTTGCTTTGTTTCGGTAAGCTTTGAAATTTACCCTTCGTTAAAAATATTTAACTCTTTACCTCACACATTAGTGCGATCCCTTTTGTCTGACTGAGAGCACAGAAGTTTATTTTATTTTTAATTCCTCAAAAGGAGTGTATCGTTTTCATCTAGAAAATAAAATCTGTAGATGCATTAATGCCTTGAAAACTGAATGTACAAAGAAAAGATAAAAAATCTAAAAACAAATATTGCCCCAGAGAGAAACATAAGAATTTCATCCAAGCACTCTTCCCGTGCATAGCATATTCTCGTAATGTTGCTATTCAGCAAAAAGTAAAATCTTTAATATATTTTTTAAATTTAATCAGCATGTTACGAATTAAAAAGTGGTGAGCGAGCGATTTAAAAGCAATGCATTGTCACTCTGCGGAGCGTAAGAACTTAAATTTATTTTCCACGCACTCGCGCGCGTAAGCAATACTCAGAATATTGCCATTCGAAAAAATATAAGATTTTTAATTTATCTTTCGAATATAATCGAGCTATTATTGATTATAAAACGAGCTTTAAATACAATGAGCAAACTTTTCAATAATTTAAATTAAACTTTTTTTTAAGCAATGCAACTAATGAAATAAATTACAACACATTTCATGTGCCATACGTCTTGCTTATATTTTTAGAATACCTGAAATTGTCAGACTGCAGGTTTCTTCTCTCAACCACTTTTTGAAAAGTTTTAGTGTAACTTTTATTATCCTTAAGTATGCTACTGCATGACAGGAAAGCAAAAAATTGCCATGTGCCAATAACTTGCAACATGTGGATTGGCGGTTCCTTGCATCAGTCAGATAATCAGTCACTCCCCTTGTGAATTATATTAGCAGTTGTTAGTATCCGAACCAGCAAAATAATTTCCTTCCTTTCCACCTATACCTTATCTCGTTTTCCTATTTTCTAATAAAAAAAGTCTGGTCGAATCAAATTGAAATATAATTCGAAGTATACCTTTCTTACATTCTATGCCACTGCATTGTGAAAAGTTCACATTGTTTTCGAACTAGACACATATGTAACCGATGCTAAAAAATAGCTTCCTTGGAATGAGTAGATGCTTTTAAATGTGACAACCATTGTAGCAAAAGGTTTTAATAAATATTTGGGAAAAACTCTACGCCTCTTCTGAACTGCATGTTTTAATTTAATATACCGTATATTCCGGTATATAATGCGCACTGGTAATTTCAAATCATAGTTTTAAATTTTTAGGTATATTCGTCGTATAACTCGACCCCTTTTCATTACGAAGAAACCTGAAAGATACATGTGCAGTTATCTTCTGAAGTTGTTGAAGAATTTTCGCAGGCTCTCGAACATTCACTACTGAATTGACAAGCAATAATATATATATCTATATATATATATATATATATATATATAATATATAGCAATAATATATATATATATATATATAGCAATAATATAGCTATATATATATATATATATGTATGTGTGTGTGTGTGTGTGTGTGTGTGTGTGGTGCTCGAGTAAACAATTCTGAAAATAGGGTGGGTTTTAATCAATGCAGATGTTCACAAGAAGGTTATTCTAGGATTCCGAGGGCTCATCAGCGACCGAGCGGTAATGTCATTTCTATGAGAAGAACAGCTCCAACCGCAGTGTCTGATGGGTGGCGGTCGCTATAGCAACAGGGCTAGTATATTTCAAATAGGGGCGAACCAAGGGTTGCTTTATTGTTATTTTGTTTTTGGCGACTATTGGCTGAGGGGAAAAAGTTTATCATTCGTCTTCAAGACACCCCAACGGAAAAGAGATCAAGGCTCGTTCTACGGCAACAGACAGCTGCAGACTAACTGGCGACAGCTTTTCTTATGATAGACAGACCGTTGTTCGGTCCGAGGTTCGAATCCCGCGAACAGCCTGGCTGCATGGGCGTTTTCGTGGTTTTCTCCTTACGTGTAACGTGTATACGAGTCAGTCTTCTTTAGAAAGTTCTTCACGAAGGCATACCTTCCCTTAGGAAAGTAACCCTCGATGCATTGCCGTAATTAACCAAACCAAGGATTCCGAAAAAAGGGAGAAATAATTTTGGATATGAATGTACTTCCGACCTGAAAGAATTCGCGAAATTAGGAATCAGATGTTTTCTCTATCTGTAGTCATTTGAAGGTATGAATTTGAAATGAACATCGAAGGTTTTAGTAAATTGCATTTGCTTTAGATGGAATTACAGTTGATCCAGTATTCCTTTTAATAGTAAATATGTCTCCTGCCAAACGAAACATAGTGCTTGTTTCATATACAAAGTCAATAATAATGGCAATTTGCGGAAGAAAAGGGAAATCGTACTGTATAGCAAGGATGTTTGGTATTGGTGAAAGTTCCATACGTGAGTGGAAGCAAATTCATATCACAATAATTAATACTCTAAAAAATGTGCTTTGCGGAAAGGAATAAAAAAATGGCTTATCCTAAAGATAAAAAATCTAAAAACTAAAAGAAAGTGTTGCAAATTGGGTCCTAGAAAATCGCCAGTAACAACATTTAGGTATATGTAGAAATAAAATTTTTGTATACTCATCTTTTCCTTGTTTCTAAATCTATTATTTTTATATCCAGCATATAACGCGCGCCCGCAAATTTCGATTTTTGGGGGGGGGGGTAGTAAGGTAGTAAAAGTGCGCGTTATACACCGGAATATATGGTATTTATTTTTCTGAGGCATTTTTCCTGTTTGAATAGCTCCTGCACAAATTTACAATATCCCACTCAATCAGCCTTTTAGTAATTAAGACTTACCTTCTAATTAATTTGTAAAATTTCATTTTCAATTACGTCTTCGGAATTCTATCTATTCGCATGAAAACACATTATAGCAAATTTTACATTTTGAACGTCAGTTAAATTATTCCAGAAAATTCGCATTTAAATGCTTCCGTTCGAAAATCGCATTTCATAAAAATATCTTAAAGCTGTTAAGAAACCCTTATGAAGTATTTCTCCCGCCTTCTTGGCATGCCTTCGTGGTGTGGTGGTCTGCACGCTGGGCGCGTATTCCAGAGGTCCGCGGTTCGATTCCCGGCGAAGGCGTTGCTAATTTTTCATCTACCCTGCTTCCATAAAATCCTAATGTCTCTATACTCTAAAATGATTCATTATTCCTAAAGAATAAAAAAATATTATTCTTCATTGCGCAAGTGGTACCTCCTAAAAAAAGGTGTAAATCCTAGGATCTATGAAAAAATATAAATTATGTGTGGTAAATAATATCTTGTGCTGTAGTTGCTAATATTTATTATAAAAATTCCATACAGTCTTCTCTCTTGGATAAAATTAATAAAATTAATGAATACGAACTTAATACGACTTAGAAAACCAGTATTCTAAGTCGTACCATCAATAGTTTAAGTCATGTAAAATTGAATCTACGTTTAGAATTGCACAATTATAATAAAACTTTCTTTTTCTCAACTAATTTATTTATACAATTAATTGCAACAATGATCACAAAGATATTTTTTTCATTTTCTTATCAACTTCAGCACTAAGTAATGTACCTAACCTTTGCATTTTAGGCACTGAATCATATTTTCTTCGCGGTCTTCTTCACAAATATTACAGAAAGAAGAACACGATGTGAAACAGTATGGTTAACTAGTTGGTAACTCGTTTTGCTGGAAGAGACGCAGTTGAGGACCTCTTCTTGCGAAACTCGAAATCTATTTCTGTTACACCTATTGTTTTAAAGGTCGAATTAAACGGTGGTATGTCTTGCGCAACCTTATCCTAAATTAATTTACATATTATTCTTATTACAAAATTTTATATGTAAATTATTTTACATAATAAAGGGATGAGAAATGTGCGTTTCTATGCTTTATTATGAAGGCACACTATATTCAACGATAGATAATCTAGTTATTGATCATTAAAGCCTGGTTATGAACAATAACCAAGAGGAAGGGATTTTTAATAATCATGAGTACTGATGTATTTATGAAGATCTTTTAACATACACTTTACAATCTAGACAAGCTTAAGATTCGTCTGAGGAACAATTAAAATGCCTCATGCAAAGGAAAGCAAAACTTACCAATATTAAGTACTGGGCCAAAGACGCTGGAATCATCTACAGTCGAACAGTTCCACCTCCTGGTCCTGAACTGCCACTGACACTCGGTGATTCCCAGTCTAGCACCTCTAGCAACGTGAGCCATGTGGTCTTGGTACAAATAACACAGTTTGGTCTGACCCCTGGACAAGCCACTTAATCGGCTGCAGAGGGGTTGAGCTCCTAAGAGATAGGCTTGTGGATTTCTTAAAACATCAATTCCCTGGAGACCTAGATTCCTGAAAAAAAAAATACATCATTTAAATTATGGTAGAATTTTGACAGTAGTAAGAACTGATTCTATTGGTTGATAACATACAACAGAATTCCGTTTATTCAAAGTACTTTAGAAGAAGATCATTTCGTGTACCACGTGATAATTACTTCAGCAATTAAAGACAAAATAAATACGCAAATTAGAATTAAAAATGTATGCAAAATATGGTTCTATAAATAAGCTGTTATTTAAAACTTACGAATTAATTAAAGCATTAAGAGAGTGGAAATAATTTATCATACAGTTCTACAAGAGGATTAAATAATTCTCTTTATAAAAGAGTAAAAACAAGAGATTAAATAACCCTCTTTATGAAATTCATATACAATTATATATCATGAGCAATAAAAGTGTGGGACGTCCCTGATAAGTTACTAAAGATAATGGCCTATATTTTTGACATTACTGTAACGTCAGGACACCCGTGTCGGGTGAAAGAAAGACAGGTTGTCTTTTAAATTATTTATTTGATAAACTAAAATAGATTTCTTGATTAAAACATAAAAATAAACTGATTATTACAGCTCTAAATCATACAATATCCGCTAACGCAGATTAGACACCAAAAAGCGTCCTTTTTACTGTAGTTACAGCATAAAAAAACTATTGTTCGACCGAAACCACTGACGTGGTTTTAGAACGTAAAAGATGCGTCCTGTCACCTCAAAATCACATGAAGAACTCTTACACAAAGATTTCACTCGTTTTGTTATCTGCGAAGAGAAACATAATTAGTTCCTTGTGTCCGGAAACTCCCAGGGGGGTTTATCTGCAGTCCTGCTTTTTGCAGGTATGGTCCATTTCGTCCGCGAACAAAACAGGAAGTTATAATTCAGCACCTGTGCCCGCGGGGGGTGCTAGTAGCTGTATCGTCACAGTACAATTTGATTAACAAATTTCGTTATTTAGGCACCCATGCTTTTATTATTCGTGATATAAAATTGAAGATAAATTTTGTAAAAAGAATTATTTAGTCTCTTGTTCCCAATAAACTATACGATAAATTATTTTTCTCCTTTTAGTTCATTTATGACTTTATGAGTTCTAAATAAAAGTTTGTTTCATAGAAACTTTATCATATCATATTTTTATTTTCATTTTTTCAGTCTCTACCGGATTTTCTGGTAACTAGCTTTATATGCGCTAGCCGAAGGCTGTGATACCAATTCCTCCACCAGAGGCTTACTCCACGGAGGGCTGTGATAATTCCTGAAACAAAATTTCGCGTATTCTTTGCTTTAGTCTTTGCATACGTATACTGGCATAACATGTTTAAAGCTAATCGAAAACACATATTCTGCTCTAGGCCCCGAATAATTCTTAAAAATTTTAGGTTTGCCAAAAAGTCCTTAAAAAATAAATTGTTTTACTTCCGCACGAAGTAGAAGTATTGTAATCGCAAAAAATTTCAGGGATCATATTTCAACGGAAATATCCATTTTGACCGTTCCTAAGTCTATTTGGATGACTTTTTTGCGTGACGTCTCTCATATGGTTACAGTAAAGGGTGTTAGTATGGTTAAACTCTTTCTTTCCAAAACGGATTGTAAAATGGATTCAAAAGGGATTTTTAATGTCTGTCTGTATGTACGTACGCACGCATGATTGTATCTCGCATATTTGAAAAATGAGCAGCCGTAAAACTTTGAAATTCTGTATATGGAAATGATGTAACATCTAGTTGTGCACCTTACTTTTTTAATGCAATCGGCAGAACCAAATGTGTACATATATATATAAATTCAAAGTACAAAGTTAATTCTTTGTACTTTAAACGTACTTTTCTACTTTTTTTAAGTGTATACAGGGTGATTCGCTATCAGACCGACAAACTTGCAGGGTGTATAGGGGGTAGAGAAATTACTCGAAATCGCATAGGGATGCAGGGTCGCAAGCTATGATGCAAAGAAGCTATGAGATTGCGAGCTATGATGCAAAGAAGCAGAGAAAAAAAGCAGAAATAGCAACACATTAATGGGACAGAAAACATTTTATTGACAGGTTGTACGACAACAGGTGTTTGATATTACGACAAGAAGTCGTCTGGCAGGCCTGAGAGCGGCGCTCCATGGAATTCCATTACGTTCTGGAAGATTCCTAGCATGTCACGTGTCCTCATGGAAGCTACAGATATTCGAGCGACGAGGTCTTCAGCTGAAGGAACGGGCATCTTCGTACACCAAACACTTCATGTGATCCCATTTTATGCGAGTCGTTTTAAAGGATCGGTAGCTATAACGAGAGGTCGTTATAAAGATAATAGAGTTAAATATAATCTCAGCATTTTGAAAATTTGGTAACAGTCTTGATTATGGAACGGTCGCTATAACGAACAATCTTTAAAAAGAAAACAGAGTTTAATATAATCTCATCATTTGGGGACTTTTTGTAAAAGCGGTCGTTATAACGAGAGTTGTTATATCGAGTTCTGACTGTAATATAAGCTCATTTAAAGAAACTACAGGGCAGATCACGTAAGACAGAAGATGAAAACAAGGCAAATTTGCTTATGGTTTTTAACTAGAATTCGTTGCCGATAGCGATAAATAGTTTTATTGTTAAATAAATTAAATGTTTTAAACTCTCAAAAACAAAAAAATGTTAATATATTACTTTAGCATAGAAAATTACAAGCTGTAATAAAAGATAGGGATAAAAATAAAGTAAGTATTTTTTAAGATAAACTCACTTTGCATAGAACTACAAAACACAATTACTGTTTTCTTACATCAGACTTAAAAAATAAACTTGACGTGATAAAAAAAAGGAGACTAGAAGTAAGAAATAGATTGCTGACAGGACGTCCGATGATAGCCTTTTTCGTGCTTTGTAAATCAAAAGTTGCCACAAGAGGCTGAAAAGTCTTACCTACGGATGGTTTTGAGTAACATCAGAATGTTGATTAAAGACTGATAACAGAAAACTGAACATTTGAGGGAACATAGGTTAAAAGGAAAATTAGATACCATTCAATTTTATATTACTTAAAATTCCGCTTTCGTGTTATTTTTCATTAAATGGTCTGATAAGGTGAATGCATATTTGGAGGTAAATGGAAAGTTAAAACGAAATGTCGTAAATTATGACCAAAAGGTTTTGCGGCACGTTTTCGAGCAAATTGTTTTTTTTTTTTTTTTTTTTTTTTTTTTTTTTTTTTTTTTTTTTCAAAGTTTCGTCCTGCTTCATTTTTTTTTTTTATTTCGTTTTTTTTTAGCAACTACTGTATTCCACAAAATGGTTAAAATTCCTTTCCGCAAAAAATAATTTATTCTAAAGAAGAGCTTGCTAACTGTTGGTTTTCGAGCTCCCACTTCGGAGCTCGCAGCAGTTTAAGAACATTTAGGATTATCATTTTAACCGTTTACTGACTTAATAATGATTATACGTACTTTCACTGCGTACGTACTACCAGCGGTAGAGCGGTAAGATCGCTGAGTTGTTCGACACAGGTTCAAATCCAGGTAAACGCGCCGGCTGCATGGGAGTTTTTGCGAAGTTTCCTATGTTATGTTAATACGAATGGGTTTTCCTAGAAAGATTCTCCCCGAAGGCATCTTTTCTCTTAAGGAGATAGCACTCGTGCTTTGCGACAGTCCAGAAGTAATACAATAGGTTCAATCATCTTTGAACCACGCCCTTGTTCTAGCCGAGTTGCTATTTTATAATATTGTTGCGTGCGTAAGGGCTTGACCCAAAGAAACACTTCACAGTTCTGTAATTTCTTCACAAAAGTACACGTACAGCTCTTCTCAGTGTCACAGGACACAATCAGTAGTTACGCTCCAAAATACTCAGAACGTTCAACACAACGCAATGCAAAGTGCATCTAAAAGGTGAAGCTCTTACGAATATCTCATTACTCCGAAGTCGTTCTGAACTAGCACCTAAACTGATGCTCTCTGCAGTCTTATATAGTTTTTCCCTAGCCGCCGAGAAATCTCTAGTACCTGCCACTTTTCGAAATTATTGGAAGGTATACCAGGACCGGATACGGTTACATTTACTTATAGGAATCCATTACAGATATTCAGCTACAAAACAGTTACAGTTATTAAAGGTCCCGCACCAAAATGTCGGCAAATGGTCATCAAGTTTGGCGACTTTTGGCGTCAAATTTGGCGACAAAACCATTGTGAGCTTCGCGATATCTCGCCAATTTACTTTAAGGTGAAATAGATTTGCCCCTTTAATCTTATTTTTCCGGCAGAGCATCTCATCTTTCAAGCATTTCATGTTAGATTGTACAAAATTATACTACAATTTCACATCTAATTTCACTAAAATTTTACATATATACAAAATTCGTAACAATATTATCTTTGGATTATTTCCAGGTCTTCTCGAAAATATCAGCTTGGTTGAAAGCAAATTTTTATAAGGTTCCTTCTTCTCCTGAACATCTCGTTCTTACAATGTCAAAGCATAAATATTATTACTTAGAGCATTATGCCACCTTTTAATTATGGGAACATAACTTTATTTACAGCGGTACGATTATCTTAAAAAAGAAATGAATGAATGAATAGCGGTGCCAATAAACATCTCTAAATGAGTTTCATATGTAGATAATCCGATCAAATGTATTTTAAGTGATAAGTAGAAAATTTAATAATAACGGGATACAAGGGAAGTAAGTAAGAAACTTCTTTTGTTAAAGCGGCCACTGCAGGCGCCTTGATGAAATCGGGTGGCACTTAAAATTAATCTGTCGAAAACTAGAAAGAACTATGGCAACCTTCAATGTGCGTAATGTCAAGGCTGTGCATTATATCAAATTTGCGCAAGTCTGTGGTTTTTAAAGGGAAAACTGATCGCTGTGTACGTTACGTGAATTAATATTATTTAATGAAATAGATAACTAACCCACATCATTAGTTTAGAGCAACTACAGTAATCTGTCATAAAGCAAAAGAAATTCCGATAATTTTTCAAACTAACGGGCGTACGCCAGTCATGAGTAAA